TATGGAAACATGAAAGATGTTTCTATAAAGCTAGAATTTACTTTGATTGAGACAATAGAAGAACATGAGAAGATATTAAAACTTCAAAATCAGTCAATGTATAAAATCAAACAAAGTAATTAACAGAGAGTTCATAAACTTATGAACTCTTTGTTGATTATTTTGTCCTGGATTAATGCTTTAAGATTATTTGATAAATTCCTATTTATGCTCAACAAGGTTATGAATATACAAAAGAAACTACTGGACGTATTGTATCTATGACATTTAGTTCACTATAATAATAATAATGGTATTCTTTTATTTATTTAAAAGAAGTTGTATGAAGAAGGTAATTTTTTTCTCTGATAATATTGGAAGATAATAATATGAATAATTTTTATGCCGATCTGAAAAGCATATTATATACTTACAATGCAACAATTACGAAAACTAATTATAAATTTGTACCATTGTACCAATTCCATCACAAACGTGTTTAGTCCCAATTTCTTGTGGTTTTTAAAATAGGGATAATGTTTATGAACATATGATTCTTTAGCACTACTAATGTCGAATAGTTTTATTTGAAGATCTGAAATCATCCAAAGCTTGTCTCAATCTTTCTTTTCCTATAGAACATGAAACGCGTCATTTACTGTATGTCAATCATTAAAGCAATGTCTGTTTGTTTTGCGGAGCGAACTTCGGTATCATCGATTCACACTCATTTCTTTAGATTGAACTCGTTTTTGTAAAACATGACACGTCAGTGATCAACATGCGACGTCAAATTAAAGATACTTTTCCTCTAGCATGTACAAATGCATACTTTCAGCTACTTGCCTGACCCTCGCGCAACGCAAGTTAAGAGCTGACACAAACGACCACCACCATCTCCACAGCACGATTTCTACTATTGCATGAAACCAGTTCAAGAAAAAGGCTTTCGCTGTTTACAACTTTCGCTGTTTTCTTGAGTACATATCTATCCTACTGGCTGGTGTAAGCTTTCTATCAGCAAAGGCCACATGTTGCAGCTGTTGACAGTGGGTGATATTGACAGATTCGTTGACTGGGCAGTTGATTGGGGTCCAGAGAAACATTCCAGCAAGAGGTGTCACACCATTGACTGCTGACAGAACCTTTGGGAATCCAGACGGCAGGGCTAGATGTTTCATCATCAGTGGAACAGATGATTTCGTTCAGGCCAGTTGATGTGTAGAATCTTCAAGTGTTCCGCTAATATGTCGATGACGATCTTTAAGTGGACCATGTATTTGATCATTTCCAACTGCTAGTGATATCAGACTAGAGTATACGATTCCGGATCGATCTCTCATTGCCACAAAAACTTTAATGAATGATCTAAGCGGCCTCTCACTGAGACAAGGTTCTTAGAGAGGTTTTAGAAGCATAAGCAAGCATCGAACTTTACATAGTTCATGTCATCGGGTAGATTGCAAATTTACACTTGGTTATGCTAATCTTTATGCTAAACTTATCATAGATTTTTCTTTCCTTCTAGGAGTTCCCATGGATTACCTTTCTTCCAAATCCATCTACGTATCGGATCTTCTTTTCATCTATTTTCTTCAAGTTACATTCCCAGTAGCACTGAACCTAGCATTAAACAGCATTCATCATGTCAAAATCGGATCGCGAAAAGAGAAGCGAAAGGGGCCAAGTAATGTCCCAAAACGAATGGGATCGTCACAATGGGAATTGGTTAGTATTGTGCCGAAGATATTTTGAATACTTTGATATAAAATTTCATAAATATTCATAAAGCATCCAAAAAATCATCACATTGGTATATTGACGTAAAAAATATAATTGAATATTGAAAAATATATTTAAATATGCTAATTTTTGTTGGTTAACATGGGTATATATGGTAAATAACTTTAAAGTTAGAATATCAGAATGTGATGCTAAGATATGCAGAAATCAACATTCAATTATATTTTTTACACCAATATACCCATATGATGATTTTTTGGATACTCCATGGATATTTGTGAAAGGTTATACGAAAGTATTCAAACAAAACGTATTATATGGTCCAACCCTCTCTCTCTCTATGATTATGGAGGAGAGTCCACACAATCATTCTTGATAGATCTTCTACAGTTAGATTAGATAATGACTTCTATAAATACTTCTAGCTATTGTAAACAAGTTACTTAACATAGTACCTATTTATTTTATATATTCTTCATTGTTTTTACCAATGTACGTATTAAAAAAGTCATATCATGTTTGAGATCCACAAGCAACACCCGAAACAATGAGAATGTGCAGTGTTAATTCAAGCTAGAGACAGTTAGCAACAAGTTAACGCGTATTGATCTCAATTTTCTATTCCTTCTTTCTAGAAGGATTTTATTTCTTTGGTTCATGCTTGTACGGAATGAGCGGGTCATATCATCTTTTGGTTATACGAATAGCGAAACGATGCTGTTTACATATCGTACGGCTGGCACAAGTGACAACGAATAAAGTGGCATGCCAAATTATTGTAGCTTTACGCAGATAAATCATCCAGTTGCCTTCAGCTAAGTGTGCCTATATGCGTTGGACCTGACTTTTGACCCTAAAGGTTCCTTAAAAGTCAGGTCCAACGCCCTAACTTCTGACCCTAAAGGACCCTTAAAAGTCAGGTCCAACACAGATATTTAACAATAGAATTTCGATATAGGTACATTTAGGGCAAAATCCGCAAAATAAGGATAATTCTCAAATCAAAATACGTAATATACGGAACTTGACAGTTGACTTAACACTATACATATTTTTACGTTACGTATTTTGATTTGAAAATTATCCTTATTTTGTTGAGATACGGAATATAAGGAATCCGCCCTACATAGAGAGTCCTGTTGATTGTAATTCATGAGACAAGAGTCTTCGGTTTGGTTTGCTGCTCACTCCCATGCTCGTAGTACGTGATAAAAAAGATATAATGAAATATAAATAATGATAAAAAAACATAATGAAGGCTCCCGGTAAATGACAATTGTCCAGGGCCCAAGTGATGTAGCAAGAGGAGGGATCTGAATCAGCATGTTTCGGGCCTTCCGGAGGGTTATGGAAGAATGACAGCAGGCTGATATAATATCAGCCTTCCGGAATTCTGTTTTTCATCCCCAAACCTCTCCAGGAAAACAAGTACAGAAATGTCGGTGATATTTGTTTCCTTGTCCTCATGCTTGTCTTTCGATTATGACATCGAGGCCAGACTACTCAAGAGCAACATAAAGGTAGTACCTTTATGTTACATAAAGTCACTACATCAATTATAGGCCTCCGTACCTCTAAGGTATGGAGGCACTACAACTGCCGCTACATGTTGTGCGGTGTTGATGAAATCCGGATAGATCCATACGTATAGATCCACGTCCGTCAGGCTTTTGCGCAGTTGTACAGATCACACACACAAAACAAATCCGTTTGATGAAGTCAGCGGAATTTGTGTCACACAAGATGACTTAAAATATGCAGGAAAGGTTGAGCACCATTAGACAATTGTATTATTTATGTCGATAAATTAACAATCTTACCATATCTTAAAATTGGAAGACAAGTCAAGGCTTTTGCTCTGATATAGAATAATACACGTATTTATAATTATTATTCTAGAAGCCATAAGTTTTGTTATGTAAAAAAATCCAACATATAAATATTGCTAACTTAAGAGATAATTACTCGGGTAAAGGGTAAATAAATGAACATTACTTTTACTCTACCTCACCCATTGATATTCTTCCTACCTTCACTTTTACCTATTTGTGTCTGTGGATCAAACGTGATGATGTATGACTAGTTCGACCTTCTTTCATTGAGTTTGAATGACAAAGACGAATGAGCCGGTTACACATCTCCGGCAGTTGCAACAGAGTCTGAGACTTTGCATCAAATCACTCTCATTCAATTGTATTTAGACCTGATGAATTCGCGTATCTGCTTGAGCCGATCTCAAAAGTGTTGAGGTTTTCTAAATCTTAATGTTGTCATGGACGATCCGATTCTGCAGCCCGATGAAGTGAAGCAACGTTCTTCCTTCTTTAGCATATACAATTCATTCTGGTGAAATCATGAAACCGTTCAATGCAGAAAACACTTCTTTGAAGAGTAGGGAATCAGGGGTGGCTGAGTAGGTAGGGTTCATATGTGCTCTGGTAGCTTGCAAATAAATGTAAACACTCCAAGGGTCATCCCATTCCTTGTTAATTTTACACTTTATACCGACAGAAGTTCATATAGACTCAAAGGGGATAGCTTTCTGATGCTGATGATGGCCAACGTAATCCATGTCAAATTGGTTCAAGTGATGTCATCCTTTCTTTCAAAGGTAAATTATCACATAATTGCAGTAATTGCGTTGTTACCTTTATTGGGGTATATGACTTTGCAGCTGCAACTTCTAGGTTTGTAAATATCATGTCTGAAGTTTACGGGTATTCCTAACTATGATTCATTTATAGTTACTCTAAATTTAATTCTCTTTACAAATGTAACACAATATACAAGAGAGGAGATCGTTTTGCTGCCATAGTGTTGCCGAGTAAAACAATTCCGAACCCTCCATGTTTTGCCCGATCAATATATCGCTCTACGATCAAGCTTGGACGATCAATCAGCCAACAATCGAATGCATGATGTATCAGATACTCGATGCACGCCGCATGTGAGGGCGTTCTTTGATAATATAAAGAGTGAACGTCGAAGATGTCGTTCAGAACGTGCTTGATATTATTTGAAATAAAAGCCAGATCGGGAACATACTTGTCAAGTATGTTCCCGATCTGGCTCGTAAACTCGTCTGATTTCTGAGTTCCTGCGTAGTTTAAGCAATTTGAGATGATTTGCCAAATTTCAAGGGATTGAGGCAGATTACGAGACCAATCTTCCAGCATTTTACTTTACACCTGACCTCAAGCTCCGTGTCTTCGATTTCTCTCCGTAAGACTAACTATACTCTGCAAAAAGGTGGACTGCATCATGCCAGGCCAGTTTGGTTACACGAACGAGATTTCGGCTGCTTGAGACTCCCAGAGAGCGAATCCACTCAGGCGATTCTCGCCGCTCGTTCCAAGAATGGCGTCGATGGGGGGGAGACCGAGCTCAGAGGAGTAAGTATGCTTGGACACATCGACGACAGTGAGATTTGACAAAGCCTCTTCGATCGTCGCGGACTGTTCAGGGGCGTGGGATTTTACTCCGAGTTTGACCGCTCTGACAACCTTTGACTGGCCACCATAGCCCAAAGCGAGCTGCATATTGAAAGATCGATTACCCTGCGTCGCCAGCTCGGCTGCGTCGATAATCTGGTTCAGCTTGGCCGGCAGCAGACATCGGTCACCGACCGCTCGAAAGCGAATGTCCAACACGGAGATGGGCGAGTCTCCCAGCACGATATCGTGGATGAAATCGGTAATCAGTGCAAACAGAGGATCTAGCTCTTGTCGACCTCGTTTCAGATTGTCCTCCGACAGAGCCCACAGAGTGAGGTTGTGGATCCCGACGCTCATCGACCACGTCAGAACCTCTAGCAGCTTACGCCCACCTTGTCGGTGACCGTCGACGACGCTGCCCAGCCGGTTCTGACGAGAGATTCGCCGGTTGCCGTCCATGATGACGCCGAGATGTCGCGGCGCCATCCCGCCCGACGCAGCAAGCCTCGACCGGAGGTACGCGCACATCAGATGCTCGCGGACGCTGCCCACCAAGGACGACGCAGCGAACCGCGGAGGAGGCGCGGGAGTCGACCCTACCGACGGGACTTGTGGGAGGCGTGCCGTCGCGCCTCCTCCGCCGCAGCCGCGCCGGCCCGACAGACCGGAGCTCTGTGCTCCGAATATCTCGCGGTACACTTCGTCCTCCGTCGCTCGGAGAGAAGGGTCGCAGCGGAAGAGCACGCCGAAGAATCCATCGACGGTGAGGATGCGCGGGCAGGCGACGTAGTGCAGATGGTACCAGAGCGGCTGGAAGGGTCGCGTCAGATTCAGGACCAGGCCACGATCGCCGGGCGCTTCTGGCGCCAGCACCCGAAGAGACATCGCTCTACAGAGGCTGCCGTAGACAGCCATGAGGACCCAGGCCAGGGACTTGGTACCACTGGAGCTTCTCCTGATCAATGACTGCGCCGCATTTCCAGTCGCCTCCTCGAAGAGCTTCTGGAGCTGGACGGGATCTTAGAGAGGAGCTCTTCCACCGCGCTCAGCGATGTCGGAACGCATTTCGGCCGATCGTCAGGGTTCAGCTTATTGGCCATAGTCATGATGGTGCACACCATCACGTCGAGCTCGACGGCACTGGCGCATCCCAGCACTTTATGCGCGCATGCCACACCGTACGCGATCGTGGCCAGAATGAATGTATTGGTTTCGAATTCGAAGAGTCTGATGTTCCCTTGGAGCTTTTTGAGCCAAGCCACGATGTGAGGCTTCTGGGCAGAGTTGGCGTGGACCGCAATGTTTAAGAAGGTCAAAGATATGGACATTTTCTTTCACGCTGAATATCAGCGTAACAGAAGTGTTAGTGTGCAACTATCGTACATGCAATGCATACGAGATAATTCAAAATTAATTTGTTTTGTCAAAAGCTAAAGAAAATGAACATGCAATGCCTTTAGAATTCGACTTCATTTTCTATTGGCTATCTGAATTAAAAAAATTAAATTATATAAATCTCATAATGCTACATTAACTCTTGTTTTGTTGTATTTGGCATGTGCTACAACTTTGTGTAAGGATGTTTTTGCTCGAATAATTCCTAACTGGAAGAGTACATGAATAAAGAGACATAACACCAATACTGGATATAGCAATTATATATTTCAGTAAAAATAGAGGTATTCGGTTAAGAACAGAGTGATTTATCACGAGTGAGATAAGCTTTCTATTTCACTGAAACCCACAAAGTCCTTTATTAAATCCTTTGACAGTTGACTTGTACGTTAAAGGACCTCACACAAAAACACATCTAGTAGTTAAGAAGATATAATGTTCTACGGGCAAGTATTGAACACCAAAAAATTTCAGTGAAAGACAAAGTATTAGGCTGAGAATAATGATAGTTTAGAAATACTGAATCAGCAATAATAATAATTATTATTATTAACATCAATAGAATTTTCAATCAATTTCTCATTGAAATAGTTTCGATTCGTTGTACATTATTATAAAAAAAGAATCATTTATATTAAGATTATATTTTTCGAAAATAAAATCAAAAAAATATTTATATTATTTTAATTTCATATATAATATTTATATCTCATTAAGTTTAGTGGCACAATAGTTTATTCAATCGTTATCTATTTACATTTTTAAAGCGTTTGATGAATATATTAAATTGGATTGTGAATAGATTCAATATTTTATAATAATATGAATATATCTCATATACACTATTCAATTCGTTTCAATATATATATTCATTAGAAGTGACTATAATATTTTTTTAAATTGATGTATTTTTTGAATTATTATGATTAAATATATTTTTTGTATTAAAAAAATATTATCAAACCATATATTCGAAAATCATCTGAATTATAAATTTTTAAATACATAATAAAAAATTGAATCTTTTTGATAATTATTTCACAAAGTCCAACTATATGAAAATCATGAATGAACAAGATAAAATAAATATCAGAAAATCGAAATTTTTCGTTGGAAATGATTAAAATATTAAAGAATAAATTAAACAAAATGTAAATAAAAGCTTTATGGAAGGCCAGGATGACATCTTTCTTCACCGAAGATGTAATTTTTCACTCAGAGCAAGACTTTCTCCGCGTCGAACGAAACGGGGAACCATGCAGAGAGCATGCCACGTTGTATCTACAAACCGATGAGCTTGTGGCGCTTTGCTCCGAACACCTGGCAGCAAAGGGACTCCTTTCAGCCTGACAGGCCCAGCAAGATCGAGATCCCGTGACTCTGCGAAGGTTAGAACCATTGCACCTCCTGTAAGGTCCAAAACTCTGAAGCGTCCTCAGAATTTTGTGGAGATAATTCAGGGATGCAATTGAACCTTCGACATATTGGATCTCCGACAGCACTGTCGGAGAGCAGGCTAGGCATGGTGCAATTCGTTTAGGAGTTCCGCTTCCTCCTCCTTCTCTCGAACCACGTCCTCTAAACTTTATGATGGCTTTTAAACGGGACTCTCTGATCTGCCTCGGCGTCAGTCATTGCGCATGCTATTGACGCTCCCCTCCCCTCCCCGACTATCAGGCGGCGTCGACTGAAGCTCGAGCGTTTTACAATTCCCCAAGATTCTACTTCCTACTGCTACTGCACGAACAAAATCCTCGCCTACACATGCCCGAAAACCTCAGCATGTTCAACAGACATCCCCTTTGAAACAGCCTCGCAAAATGCATGAGTCTGTCTGGAGCATCGGAGAGGAACATGGACTTCGAGAAAGTTACCCACGATTGCTGCACTGTGGCCGGTGAAGAGTACTGTCAGAGCCATCAAGCTGCTGCTTCTGCTGCCGATCTTCCTATAGAAGCAGCCATTTCCAAGTTGCGAATTTGCTAGAATGCTGGACAATACTTCATACACACATTTCCTAAAGCGGAGAGGAGTGCGAGAAACGCGTTAATGAAAAGTGCATATAACTTATGATGATGTACACTATTCCATGATGGCTAGTGCCCGATGTGAGTTTGCACGACGCGTGGAGAATAGAGCAAGAAAGTTATAATGAGAGTTTAAAGCATCCCCTGCAAGTCCAAGAGGCGGCTGATGTCGCTATACTGTTCGACATAATTAATTAAGTGAAAAAGCTTCTAACACTTATTTAAAAACTATTCCATTTACTTTTTGGTTTTGCATAAAGTGCAACAAACTAAATATTTTTTGCTTTGGAAGGTGAATAAAGAGCCAGACTGATTGGTACTTCACAATTATAATTATTTTGAGTTGTAACTGCTTATATTGATATGATAAACAATAACTTATTACAGTAGATTGTAAGATATCAGGTGATCTCTTATTCTTAGAGGAAACATATTTTCATTACTCTATTGAGATCAGTCGCTATTGATATATATATTAAGGGAATCATGTGGCATGTTATAAGATACTACTGCTGATTGCACTATATGATCTAACAAAGAATCATTTCGGTTGATGTAAAGCATATATTTCATTATGGTGAAATGAGTATAAGCAGAAACGATCTTTAAGCCTACACCGCTGTTAAAGGAGATATGGCTTAGACTATTAGGTCAAAATTTGGACTTTAAGGATTATATTTTTTAAGTTGAGTCTATAAATTCCTCTTATTTAGGGAAGAGTTCGTGAAAAAAGTCTTTGAAGCATAATTTGGATTTAATTCAAATATTCAAGTATTACATTCTATATCATGATGATGGAGCATTGTATCCTTACTTTGTTTGGTTTTGAATAAAAAATCATCACAGCGCTGTAAATGTATTGATGTATAAAAGATTGTGGTTTCTTAGGTTTGATATGACAACTATACATGTTGTGATGTATTTATGTGTGCATATTTAGGGATTCATCACAAAAATTTGCAAAACATCCTGAGTGATTACATTATTTATTCACTTTACATACAAGTTTCATACAAGGAAACACAAGTAATTCACTCCAGAATCTTAACTCTGTGTCGATATATAAGAGAAGTTTTCATAACTTTATGTGACACAGAAAATTAAGACCGGTTTTCTTATAGATTGAGAGATTAACACTAGCCATACAAAGTAGAGTAACATTAACTAGAGTTAATAACTATGATGCATGAAATCTTTGATCAATGAATGATAATGAGATTACACTATCTAAGGACAGATTGACTTGATAATGATACTAGTATACCATTTCAAATATGTTAATTTGAATTTATTTGGTGGTAGTGTATGTGTTCATGATGATTATTTGTAAAGTCATTGATATAAAAAAACACTTGAGGGATCATGTTTAAAATTTTTATCTTTACAATTGTATGATGAAAATAATATCATTAAAAATTATTTTGAACTTTGATTTTTTAAAAATGGTATATATTTTCAATTTTATAATGAATTTTAGAGTTATGTTTCATTATCTGTATCTCGAACATGACTTATGAAATAAAAAAGTGTAATAAAAATATCTTCACTCGTATTAATTTTTTTTTTTTAGATTTTCAATCTATAATATTTATAACTACAAAACCAACGGAGTAGAGTTGGAGGCACAACCTTAAAGTCATACCCCGGGGCGAGGGCATGGGGCATTCTTCTATACAAGGCATGCCCGTATGTCCAAACAAATATATATGTAGCTCCAGAGCTTTTCGACAGTTTTTTTTCAAGAGTTCTTTATTTCCACAAAAGTAGACATTCTGATAAGTAAACGCACGTACTTAGATACGGGCATGCCTGAGGCATGACTTTTGACGTTGAAAGTGAGGATGGGCATGCCTGAAAGAATTTTGTTGTGCCTCCAACACTACAATGGAGGTATGATAGAGCATGTTAATTTCACATGACCCTATTAGATCATGATTTAATGATTACACTATTAGATTGTGATGATAAGTAATCATTAATTGTAGCTTATCCAAGAGATTGATGATCATCCATTTCAACTATTTGTCATCTTCAATATGTAACCATTATGTTTGTGGTAGTCACTTTTTTTAATGAACAAAAAATATTTTTGCTCATTATAAAGGAACAATATAATAAATATCTAATACTATCATACGAAAAAAAAACCCATGTAAAGATTCTATAAACTATTATGCTTTGCCATTTGAATAAAAAAAAAAGTGAAATCTACTTCACTTGAAACAATTTAACATCTTTGTTTTAAATTTAAGTTGTATAAAAAAATTATTTATTTCAATAACAAGGTAGTGTGAATTGAAAAAATTGAAACATGTTGAATTGAAAATTCAAGACAAACACTGTTTTTTAAAAAAGTGTTATTTGGTACTTTAAGCCTATAAATAAGCCTCATATATTTTTAAAATAGTCGTTTTCATAAACATTGGATATAAATTTTGCCATATTTTTACCCATCGATATAGAGCTGAATTTAAGAAATTGAAATATTTTTTTTGAAATTAATTACTTCATTTTTAAAAGATTAATTAATTAATTTTAAAAGCGTCACTCAATTGTGATTCAAAAAATTCAACCGATTTAAAATAAAGATGGCTACGTATTATGTGAAAAAAAAATTTGAATAAAAATCATCAATACACCTTCAAAAAATTTTTAATAGAGACAATACTGTACTTTTTAAAATGGTACATTTGAATATCTTTTAAAATTTATCGCTTTATTTTAGATATATTATTGAATTTTTTAATTCAAAAGCGCAAGAGATGTAAGTTTGTTTATCAACAATTATCCCTTATCATCACGTCACAAAATATTTATTTGACATGCAATATAGTACGTTGTAGAGTTTCAGATTCATGAGCCAATTTTTCAACACAAATTTTTATATATATCTATCAAAATTAGTCAAATTTATTGAAGTATAAATAAAAGAAAAGAACATGGATCGCTGGAAAAAAACAGAATGAAGATTTATTAACTGCTATTTTGGATAATTTTTTTAGTATAGAACAATAATCTTAACACAAAAAATCATCCTTAAACGCAGAAAAAAGACTTGACAGATTTAAGCTATCATGTCATATAATACATCTATTTCATAGTTAAATATGTCCATAGCCAGTTGATAAAATACATAAAATGCTCTATATTGACAATTTGACTATATGATATCGATAAAGCATCAAGTTCCTTAAACTTAATACAATTCTTAAATATTTACAATTCAATTTTCTACGATAATTTGGCATGACCAAAAAAGATCAAAGTATTTTCTGTAGCTGTGAATCCAAAACTCAGAAAAAATAGATTCCATGATTGCTATGTTATTTAAAAGAAAGTTTACTAATTTGATACTTACTAAGGTGATGAACCAATTGGATAAAGAAAATGACTATTAATGGTGAAATTATTATGAAAATAAATGATACTATGATTTGACATCAATTGTTATCTGATGAATATTGAATCACAGTTAAAAGAGTTCTGGACATACATACACAAAGCAGGAGAACCTGGATAAAAGATTTAAGGCCAGTAATGACTCATCATCTCGTTTTATCTCCCGTTCCAAACTAGTGTGAACAAAGCTCATGAACATCCATATCATCTATTAGAGAGATAGGTATCGATTGGAGATGGGTGCAACACCCAATATTTGAATTGTAACTAAATACACAGAAGTAGCAAGTTTGTTAATCTTGCATTGAAATCATAAAAAAAGTATGGATTTGGAATTTGACATGTGTGTGAAAGATTGCAGTAAGAGATATTGTTTGGGAACGAAATAATACTTGGATGTTTGGCGACTATGGACTTTTATAATTGGATTCTTCAGGGACTGCGTAATATAATTATATATAATACCAAATATATTATAAAATACTCAGAGGTACACCTTAGATGTTACCCTGGGACTCTAAGATACACCTAATGCAATCGACACACGTGAAAATGTCAACGCGTTGAAATTCATCACTACTACCACCACTAGTATCCTTAAATTTCAGTTTCATAACCATCACCGACGATCCAACTTCTTCCAAATAGTACCTTTTGGATTCCTCATTTGGAATAGAGTCTATAATAAATCTGAAATCTTACACTTGTAGCAACCCAACAACACTTGTGCGAACTCTTCACGATTACACTGTGGACTTTTTATTATAAAAATTATACAAGGTATGGTTCGGGAATATAGTTTAATACCATGGGTATAATATCGCAATTATATATACACAACTATAATCCCAATTAAAACCATGGGATCAATTGGTTCTCTTTCCATGTTGGGCAATAGGTTTCGTTCCTGGTCGGTCGTCCATGTGTTCCACGTTTTCTCTCCCCTCGTTTAAAGGAAAATTTTGGCACGATATAGAAAAAATAGGTCGGTGTAGCCAAATTTTAATCACAATGGTAGCGTGATCGAATCGATCTAAAACAAAATTCCGCTTCAAATTTAGTCGGCTGCCATTCAAAACCTGGTCAAGTCATTACCACTTCTACACCATCCGATTCAAGGCACATCCAAAACATCATGAAAAAAAATTCGCGTCATGTAGTAGTTAAAAGCAGATTTACCGCGTTATACTTCATGCACAAGAAAAAATGACCAAAAAGGTCGTCAGCACCATGCTGGGATGTTCCCATTCTCTTTGTGTTTGTGCATAAAGCCAAAACGACCCATGTTGGTTTAATGCATAGTTGTACACCCCAATGATTAATGGGTATGGGTGAGTTGGTGTACAGGATTTTAACTGGATACAACAGGAGTCAAAACTTCCTTAGGAGTCGGTACAGTAAGTGCTCCTAGTCTCATGGTTCAAGTAGCGTCGGACGAAGTAAGTGAGTGGTTCAACGCAGTTGATGCGTAGAGTACAGTTCTTACCACGTAGAGCCTACATCTCTCCCTACAGCGTAAAGGTTTGCTCTGACGCAATTGTTCCGAAATTTGTCTTTTCGCGCCTTTCTCGATAGCCCCCGAACAGGCGAGCGGAGAAGAATTAATAAGTTGCATGCCGTTGCGGTAAGATGCGAAATCGTAATATCTGCCAGCGCAGTCGCATGTGTGAGGCGTAAGTCATCCGGAGGCCTCTGCAACACATATATGTTGCAGAGGCCGACGAGCTATGAAACTGAAGGCGTCATTAAGTCCGAGGCCGCGAGCACGATGGCGAGCTGGCTGGCTCAGATTCAGAAGAGCTCGGATCTGGGTTCTGATGTGTGGACTTTGCTAGCTTTGGTTGTGGGAGTGGCGCTCTTGCATAAGGTCTTCTTCGGTCGGAAGAAGTTGCGGCTTCCACCGGGGCCGAGAGGATGGCCCGTGCTGGGAAATCTGCCGATTCTGGGCACAATGCCTCATCTGTCGATCACGGAGTTGTCCAAGAAGTATGGCCCTCTCATGTCCATCAGACTGGGCTCAGCTTCTGCTGTTGTGATCTCGTCACCCGAAATGGCCAAGGTGTTCTTCAGAACCCAGGACCATATATTCGCCAACCGCCCCTTCACCATCAACGGCCAGGTCTTCATGTACAACTTCCAAGACGTCTCCTTCTCACCTTACAATGAGCATTGGCGTTTCCTGAGAAAAGTCATCGACATGGAAATCTTCTCCAATAAACGGCTAAGACATCTGAAGGTTTCTCATTTCTTACATCAGATTCTGCTCAGCTTGTGTGGCACCAACTTTCTTATGCCAGATTCTTATTACTCTCTTTGTAGAATGACCTTCCTCAGCTCACTCAACTCACTCAGCTGTCTGGAATACTTCTCTGGACCTTGTTCTAAAGACAACTTGAACTTTGTAGATGTAGGTTCGTAATCCGTATCAGCCTCAAGCGACCTGCCACTCGTAAACGGAGGTGTAGGAAACTGCAAAGGTGCAATTACAGGCAAGCTTTCCGTGTATAGCTTGCCTGTTCTAGCTCACGAAAGCTTGCCAAAAACGGATGTTTAGGCTCATAAAGGCTGTAAGCTTGTCTGAGCTCAGAGTGGACCTCTCTCTCATCCAAGTCCGATGGGTTCATGCGTTGTTGACTAGAATTAATAACAAATCGACTGAATATCCTCTACAGGTTGTACGTCAGACTTCGTGCAAGCCGGTGCTCTTCGTTCTTCGACGTAAGATTGCGTAATTTGGGTCTGATGGCCTGTGTTTTGGTACATGTTCACAGGACTTCAGAGGCGAAGAGATATTGGCCTCGATAGAGCGTATGCTAGAAGAGGGACGAGGTGGCAATCCTGTAGACATGAAAAAAAGCATGGCTCAGCTCTCGGTGGAGCACATCTGCCGCATATGTTTCAACAATAACTACTCTCAGTGGAAATCAAAGAGCTGCCATTCCAACGGGGTACCTAAGACACTGGCCTCGATGCTCGACGAATGGATTGCGATTTCCGGAGCATTTTTCGTTGGAGAATACATCCCATATTTGCGGAAGCTGGACCTGGGAGGCTTCGAGGCACAGCTGTTGAGACTGAGGTCAGACTTTGAACAGTTCTTGAATCCCATTATCGAGGAGCATCGCAAAAATGAGGGGCGCTCTGATAAAGACTTCCTGGATGTCCTGCTGTCTCTACAACGTGAAAATCAAGACGGATTTCCAAACGATCGAGTCAAAGCTCTTATTAATGTGAGTTACCGCTGACCTTATATTTAATTCCCTAATTTCCCTGCACATTCGGCGAAATCTGGAGGTCTTTTCTCTGCAGCCTGTATAGATCCCATCGCTTCGTGTCGATTCTAGATGGAAACGAACTTCTGGTGTGATCAAGTCTCCACAGAAACTGAAAAAGAAAAGTCTTGTAACTTTATGTACTAGAGGGCAGAAGGCAACTTAGCAGTGTGTTTACATGACCTGCTGGGTGGAAATGATGGTGACACCAGCAAGGTTTGTTTCAAAGAAAAAAGTATCAATCATATTTTGGGCGTTGATAGAATCTCTAGTATGAAAAAGTTGTTCCCTTTCAGCTGTGCCGGGTGTATTTTCAGCTCATTAGCTCACAGCAGGAGGAGACTAATGTGATGGCTCTTGCAGAATGTTCTCATCGCTGGAACGCAGACTACTTCTGACCAGACCACGTGGGCCCTGACCGAGCTGATGCGACACCCCGATATCAAACAGAAGGTTGTGGACGAGCTGGACCTCGTGGTTGGAAGGGAGAGACTGGTGGAGGAATCGGATATTGGCAATCTCGTTTACCTGAAAGCAGTAGTCAAAGAGACACTGAGGATGTACCCGTCGGTTCCTCTGGGAGTGCCACACGAGGCGATGGAGGATACTCAAGTGGCAGGTCACGACATTCCAAAGAAAACTAGAGTGCTTTTCAACGCCTACGGCATCGGGAGAGATCCAAAGCTGTGGGAAGACCCCACAACATTCAATCCCGAGAGGTTCATTAACAGCCCCATCGATGTAAAAGGACATCACTTCGAGCTCTTATCGTTCGGTGCCGGGCGCAGACAGTGTCCTGGGATGGATATGGGCCTACTTCTCGTACAGGTCACCGTGGCTCAGATTCTTCACACCTGCCACTTGTCTGTCCCAGCAGGCGTAGTAGTGGACGTGGAAGAGGGAATCGGAATCACACTCCCCAAAGCCAATCCCCTTATGGTCCTGATATCTCCTCGCCTCGAACCTCAATTCTACATCCAGAAAGGTATCAAAGTAAACTTCTCGTGACACACAACCATTCGAGTTCAGTCACAGTAGCTTAGTGCGATGGCGATTCAACAGCAATACTGTGTTGAAAATTGTAGATTGTTTCTGATTGCAGACCGTTTGATCGCTAATGACCCCAGCGCTGTTTGGAACGAAAACTTGTTGACAAAAATTAGGCAAAACTTAGTAACAATTGTGAGCACAAAAGTATGGTAACTCTGGTTTATTTCTTTCTTTCTAGAAAGGAGCAAATAAACTATCTCTTACTGTTGGTGCTAATTATACCAACTATGTATACTTGATGAAATTTGGACAAATCAAAATATTTTACATCAGAAGAGGAAGGAAAGTGACAAAGTAGTGCAAGAGTGACACTTTAAAATACAGCTTTGAAAGAATGTATATCTACACATACAGCCATATTTTCCCACCGTAGGAAATCCACCGTATCCAATGTATCCACTTTTGAACTGCAAGTGTAATTACGGTTGAACAGATACTTAAGAAAGTGATTGCTGAGAAACTGTCTTAGACTATACTGAGATTTCCTACCTTGAATTCAACTTTTATAAGAGAAAATTCTCTTATGAAAGTTGAGGCATCATCTTAACTTGAATGAATTTGGAGATTTTCTTAATTTATAGTGTTATTATTTATGATGGTAGTATAGCGTTAGTGTTTTTCCTCAAATAGGGATTTGTGAAGAAGTAAAATATTGGTTAGAACTCTTTGAACTGCAATTCCTGAGTAAGAAAAGAAGTATACAATTCAAAACTGCGTAAAAACTGCATTGAAAACATGTTTACATTTTAGTATCTTACCTCAAAGGCGTCATTAAATGACTTGGTAATGAAGAGAAGAAGTAAAAAATTTGTACATGAATCAATTTGCAAACTCTGGGATGCATGGAAATCTAAATTGTTGCATGAAATTTCTAATGCGTAGAATGAATCTAAATTTAAATGACGATTATTTTGACTCCATTGCAGCTCAAGAAAAAACGATATCTTCTATCATTCATCAGATTTCATGTTTGGTCATTAGGTGCATGTATGGAAATGGAAGAAGATTCACAACTTTACGTCATTCGGAAAAGGGTACTTCCAAAAAGCATAATCTGCGATGGAAACCCGAGGTGGAAAATAATACGCAGATTATGAACGAAGTCAGACCTTTTAAACTTAAATAAGACGCAATATCATCTATAGCTCTATCTGGACCTATTTAGTCAATGGTGCGTATCCAAGTCGAGTTTCTGAAATCAATGCATATTATTCCTCTCATGTGCCGACCATGTGTACACTGCCTTCACTCCATCCTAGGTCCGACAGTTTGATAGTAACGAACAAGTTTCCTTTCAAGGAAGCAGTATCTAATTCAGGAGTTCTTACCCTCAAAGAGTGAAAGATCTTCAGAAAGAAGTTTGGATATGGCCTAGATGAAACCTGAAAATTCCTTTGGCGGTGAATTTCTTCTAGCCAGTCAATACGCGTGTCATACGTTGATGTCATAGGACGTAAGATTGGCATGAATTTCAAATGATTACTTTTCGGAGAATCCCATAGGTCTGAGCTTCCTATTGAATAATTGGATTCAAACGATTTCACGTCGATCGGTAAAATGTCCACGTCTGATATAACCACCATGGTAGGTAGGCTCTATGCACCGTGGCGATTAGGTACGTATGTTTCCATAGGTCTGTGTTTTTTTTTTTAGTATTTCGATCTCATCAAATGAGGTAATCTGCATTGTCATCTTCAAACACCTTCTCAAGGTCTTCTTCCTTGAGCTCTTTCCATATATCTGAGGTTTTTTTTTCTAATGATTCGATCTCATCAAATGACGTAATCTGCATTGTCATCTTCAAACACCTTCTCAAGGTCTTCTTCCTTGAGCTCTTTCCATATATCTGAGGTTTTTTTTTCTAATGATTCGATCTCATCAAATGACGTAATCTGCAATGTCATCTTCAAACACCTTCTCAAGGTCTTCTTCCTTGAGCTCTTTCCATATATCTGAGGTTTTTTTTTCTAATGATTCGATCTCATCAAATGACGTAATCTGCAATGTCATCTTCAAACACCTTCTCAAAGTCTTCTTCCTTGAGCTCTGCTTCTGAAATACTGCCATGACGTGCACAGAACCTGTCGAAGTTTTACTCAGTCGCCTCCCATATGAACGAACTAATAACAAATACCATTGATTTGTGTGTCTATGGATCCATGAAATCCGTGTCTAAGAGCTTCAGAAAGGAAGAGGGAAATTTCAAATGAGATCCCAAAGTGGCAAAGATTGTATCTTGAAAAAAATATTGTTATACGTAGAGTCTGGCACGTCATGATATCATGAAGCTCTAGAAAAGTCTAGAAGAGAACTGTCGATTGTTCAGGCTTATCATGGATTAGATACAAGTCACACTGTAGATGTCGATTCTTGCATATATCATTCAGAATAACCTTGCAAGGATTGACCAGGTATTCAGGATAACTGAAGAACTCTATGCGATTGCTAAGATTCCGTATACGTTAAGGAGCAGGCATAGTACTGTTTGACCACCTAAAGTAGTTCTCAAAGGTGTTGTATCGTTTAGGATAACACCAAAATTGCAGCCAAACATGGAATTGCGGCTGGAGAAAAATATTTGTGCAAACACTTACCTTACACACGATGTCTCACGAAGTCAAAACTCTCTCTATAGATGCTCTGGAGTTGGTCAAAGAAAATTGATAAATATGAGCTCTCTGAGATTGGAAGTACTCACAAGAGGTGCCTCAAGAACAAAGACCTCCCCTTAGCTCTAGCATGTCTATCTTAGTACTATACATGACCATTACATGAACAGATCCAATGTATGTAGGAATAAAACCCTCAAGATTCCGTAGGAAAATGACTCATTTACTCATCCTTAAATATACACAGAAGAATGTCAAATAACCGTCCATAGATTAAAACATCGTGCGAAGATTTGAAATCCACACAATCGAAACAGTCCAATCATGGTTTCAGTAGGACGGAAAAAGACACTAGTAGAACATGTGAGTATGTGCTATATGAAACGAATTGGTTGGCAGCAGTTGAAAGATAGAATATCACTATGACTAGTACAGAATGAGACACTAGTCAAAGTGTCTATCTTTTCAGACTGAATGGAATACTGCATAACTTGCTCCTCATATTTCGCGATCATATGGGATAGTATCATCGAGACGAGTGCAGTCACAGAGGACGCAGAATGTTCCGATAAGAATCTTAGAATATTGTTCTCTAGCAGGCCAGAATTGCTATATCTTCATCTGGCACCAAATCAATAAGAATGTCTGTAATACTTCGCCGTTCTCACTTGAAGTTTCCCTGGACCGAACTTCTGCTTACCCAGGAAGATCTTCCATGTAAATGCCTCTGTAACTGGGAGTGACCTATTCCCAGATGACAAAAACGCCTTCTGCCCACCAGCTCAATCAAATCTCCACAGTACCCATGGAGGATAATGGGAATACCTCGCAACAGGTTTAATTTACAAGAAGGAACATTTATACCTCAGTTACTCTGCTTTCATTACATAGAAATTATAGATTTGAAAGTTGCAGAAGCCCCACCACAACTCGTTTTTTCGATACTTGTTAATATGTACGCAGCATATATTACGCAGCCAATGTATGGCAGGGAGGGGAGAGGTAGAAATTCAGAAATCTTTGGGGTCAGGACTGGAGGTCATGCCACACGGATCGAAGGCAATGGTATATGATGCAACCTGTGCTTTGATCACCAGTTGCTTTTTAAAAGCCATTGAGTGTAAACAGATTGCATCTTTACCAACAATCGGAATATTAGTAAATTTCAAAACAGAGTGCATCTTTACCAACAATCGGAATATTAGTAAATTTCAAAACAGAGTGCATCTTTACCAGCAATCGAAATATTGGTAAGTTTCAGAATGGAACTCATCTGAACTGCATGCGAAAAATAAACCTCACTTATTTAGGCTGGTTGAGGCCAAACCAAATAAAAGAAAGCTCTGCTTCAGTAATAATGAGTTACAATATTTATTTTCTAAAAAGAAGCCGTGGGATTTCTGTTATAGCAAATCTTGTGTATTGAGATAAGAAAGTCTACAGAGATGGACATCGAAAGCTCAGTACAAACATGTCTGCTGACGAATACGATCTACTTTAGATACAGTCTCTGAGTTGTCTCAGCACGTCCTCAAAAGCGATAGTGATGACCTCTGGAGGTGTTGACGACAGATATACGATGTTAAGTCAGAGATGGTAACAGAAAGTGCATCTGGATGCATTCGAGGCCAAGAAAGGTCACCAGTGTCCTCAGTACGACAAGCTGTATCTTGGATGCCCCGAGCCATGAATAAGCTCGTCCGATCAAACCCTTTGTACACTTGCATTCGGCCTTCGTATTGATTCTGAAGGGATTTGTTCACCTTACCTCAAGGTTTTAATAGATTTCCAAATTCGAGAAGCGCTCTGTTTGAACCATGAACTCGAACTCAAGCCGAGATTCCTCAACTCAATAATGGATTCTCCTATTCAATTTGTAAGGCTGAGATTCGAGAATGGCGTACTTGGTCAACTCGAACACCTTAAAGCTCAGGACCTTTCGCAGCTCTTTTCCAGCGTTGCAAGTTCTTAAGTGCCTCCGACCCATAGAAGGTAAGGACCAGAGCTTGTAAACTCGTGAGAATAATCATCAGGATCTCTTAATGGAACGGAATCAACTGCAACGTACTATCGATTATAATATGTCCACTAAAGTGGTGAATTTCAGTACACCAATTTATTGGGCACGTCGTAATAGGGCATACCTGGTCATCGTGGTGGGCTCACTGCGACATGGAGAGCTATTGGATTGTTCCAGGCCTAGGTACGATTCTTGGGCGATATGCGACAATATGACGAATGTTGGTCTAGAACTGCTCCTGGGGTAATGTGAGCGACAACACTAGATTTTCTCCTGATTTGGAAATCTGACAATATTAAATAATTGAAATACAAAAATATCAAAAAACAGTTCATAAATTCGAGTAGTTTTTTCCCGTCGTCGGAACTGAAATTTGATTCCAGTATCATGCTTATGATGACGTTCCTGCAAACAACTAGCAGGAGCCGCATCTGGTGTCCGATTACCAGAATAGACGGTAGAGCAAGTCATGCAGGTCGACTGCAATCTGGTGCTTTATGATGCTCTGTGAAAACGGAGCCATTTCGGTCCCGGGACCGACGACTGGGCTCGGGCCTGTTCTGCCGTCGCCATCTTAAATGTGGACTCGCAGCTCGATGGAGCTGATGCAGCTTTTCTGTGGAGCAGCCAGACTTGCAAAGGGAATGGTGGACATGGCTGGAGCAGCATTATTCTCTAAATTCAGGACGATGGAAATTAAGTGCCGTATATGTCCACGGCCGAAGCGATCATCGC